TCACTCCTGGGCACCCGGGGAAGTGGAAGCGCCGGGCCCTGCTGCGGGGGGGAGAGCCACAGACGCCGGGACCGGGACCGCCGCCGCCGCCACCATGGTAAAGGCCCTACGGCCCTGGCCCGGCGGCCCCGCCGGAGCTCGCGTCCCTCTCCCCGCGCCGACCCCCGGCCCGGGCAGGGTGGTTCCGCGGTGGGGGAGGGGCGGGGTCCGGGACCCTAGGTAGACACCGTCCCTCCCGCTCCGGACCGGGCCGCCGATGGCCAGGGTGGCCGGTGACTGCCTCCTCTCCCGGCCCCCGCCCTAGGCTTCAGCTGGAGCCCCACTGTCCTTTTCCTCCGTGTGCAGGCTGCTTTCCCCCGCAGCCCGGGCCAGACTCTTCTCCCTGATGGGCCAGGCCCGGCACCCCCTCCGGTGACCCCGGTATGGTCCCCCTGCATCCTTCCATGGCCAGGATATGTCTCCTTCCCCCGTCCCCACGGCCCAGGCGAGGCCGTCGTTTCTCCCTGCCATGGCCCAGGCTAGGCCCCCCCAGCCCCGACCCTTCCCCTCTCCACCTCCTCAGCTGGACCCCCGACACTCCCTCCTCCGGTGGGAGCTTGGGTTTGTTTCTCCTCCACCCCGCGATCTCTTCGCTCCATGGTCCTGAGAGTGGACCGCTCCTCCTCCGCGGTGGCCCCCGCCTGGGCCTCCCTGCCCCCTCCTCGCATGAGCCGGTTCCCCTGACTTCTCCCCACTCAGCGTAGCCTGCGCCAGCCCCACTCCGACCGTCCCCGTCCCTGCTTTCCCAGCAGGGCCCTGCACCCTGCCCTGTCCCCAACCCAGGTGCCCCCTCCTCTGTTCCTGGGGCGCGCCTCCTTGGCGTCCTGTGGGAGGCGAGGGAGCGCTCCGGTCGGATTGGGGGTGGCCCGGTGCTGGGCCCCCTAGGGGTCGAGGGTTGCCAATTGTGGGAGAGGGCGAAGAGTGGAAGAGCAGGCATCTGAGTGCCCGGAAGGCAGCTCCGGGCACTTCCCGCGGCGCCGCCTCCTTACCACCGGTACGAGCTCAGGGCACGTCCTGGGGGGCGCCCTGGCCTGAGTGGGAACAGTGGGGTGAGCGTGAGGGAGCAGGCCAGTCAGGGGTGAGCGCACAATCGCGCTTGTGAAGCCGCAGGGCTGGCCCGGGGGGTGAGGGGCACAAGGCTCAGAACCCAACATACGGCCGGACAGGATGCACCCGAGCAGGCGCAGCCTCCCTTTCCCCCTGAACTGTCAGCTGGTAAGGGTTGGAACTGCTGATTATGGAGGTGCGTCGGATCAGGTGAGAGAAACTCCAAGGCTGAGCTAGCTCCACTCCGTGTTTGTTTTGGGAATGAAGGCAGGAGCCTGAGTTTCCCACAGGCCTTCACTCATGAGCCTGCCCTCCATCCCCTTCGGAGCCTTTTGCAGGGCAGACGCGTTGGAAGGGCCAGGGACTTCTGCCTCACTTGCTTTTGTGAGCCTCCATGAATGGACTGTAGAGCCATCCACCTGCTGCATTCTGGCCCGTGTGGGTCCCTGCTGTCCATTGCAGCCATATGATTGCCCTGGACTTGGCACCACATGTTTTTGAAAATTCTGGTTCCTTGTTTAATAGTGTTGCTGTTGAACTAAGGAGACTGATTTAGACTGGCTGAGTTTTTTTCTTGATGCCTTCCTGTATATTGCTTGAAAACATAGGAGATGTCATTTTTGCACTGTTGCTATTGGCTGAAAACTCACTCATGGAAGATGGGCCTTGCCACCAGCCTGAGTGGAGGAGGACTTGTCCAGGACAGTTGTAGGGACGACTTTAAAAGCGGACTGAAGTTTTCTTCAAGTGTGCTCTCAGGGCAGGAGCAGGGGAGGGTGGGTGGAGTGGCTTGATGGGGCTGCTCCAAGCAGCATATCAGGTAGGGAGGGGCCCTCCTCCACATGTGATGGAAAGTGCTGCTAATGACTTAAGAAGGACACAGGTCACATGAAGTGTCTCAGGAACCCTGTACTTGGCTCTCCTGTGGACAATCTGAAAAGATTGGGTGGGGTGGAGAAGGGCACACCGTCTGCGGGACACTGTGTGTCATCTGATTGATCTCATTTAACCCACACAGAGTCCTCGGGGGTATTTGCTGTCCCCATTGTACAGGTGAAGAAGCTAAGGGTTAGGTGGGGGAGTGACTTATTCAAGATATTGCTCAGTCAGTAGAAGAGCCATAGTTGATCAGTGGACATAGATCTGGCAGACCGTAACCTGTGTTCTTACCATTGTACCAAGCTGCTTATGTGTCAGAAGATATAATGACACTGCTTAGGAGACATAATAATGGGCTGTGCAGTGATATAAGGGAGGAGCTGCACTTTTGGTCTACTGGTTGTGCGCTGGAATTTTTGCCTAGAAAATCCTCTGCAGTAGCGCAACCTTATTATATTGGTGCAGGCTTTTTTGAGGAGATGGGCTTTTGTCTTCTCTTTTCTGTGGCTGTTTCCACCGGACCTAGAACTGCATCCAGCGCTTAAAGAAATGGCCTGAAGGGCTGGATGTGGTGTTGTACACCTATAATCCCAGCTACTTGGGAGGCTGAAGCAGGAGGATTTCGAGTTTCAGGTCAGCCTATGTAACATAGCTGGATCCTTATCTCAAAAAAACAAACAAAAAAAAAACAAACAAAAAAAAACCGAGCTGAGTTCTCTCTTTTGAGACATGTCTATACCCATGAATTTAGCTACTTGGGTTTCATATTTATTCTCTTGATAATTTGTTCTTAATGTCTCCTAAGCTCATAAGTAGTGTCTGACTGTTTTTTGTCAAATTTACTGTTTACCTGATAAACCAGTGTACATAGTTGGGACAAGACAAGTTGGGGCTGCATCATAGGCAGATTAATTTAGGCCCCCATGGCTTTTATTTTCAGTAGGCCTGATGGTAGAGAAACAGCTAGACCTTAGTTTTCCATTGAAGGAAATAAGGGTTTGCTTTAACTTGGGAGTGAATTCCATGATTTTTGTTGGCACTAGTTTCACCTTCCCACTTAAGAATGCATAGGCAAATAGCATTTATTTGCATTACTTTATCAGCTAATAATCTTACCATGCCTAAGTGCTTTATGACTTTAAAGCACTTTTCCTAACACAGCTCTGGCTTCTAATTTAGGAATGATTATTCTGAGAGTTAGAATTCTAGTGCTCAATGGTGGGGCTGTAGCAGGGAAGGAGCCAGGAAGGGCTCCTCGGGAGTTGTCACTGCAGATCCCAGATGGTTTTGCCTAACAGAGCTGATAGGAGAAGTCCCTCATGTTACAAGGTAAAGCAGTGGAGTTGGTACTAAAGTGTCTTAGTGATCACCTGGCGTGGATAGGACACATGGTTCCGCTCAGACCTCATGTATATACAGCCCTGTTCATTTAAATCCAACTGACCTCTTTTTGGTGGAATGCTTGTAAAAAGTAGGCAATAATCAATACTGTGAGATTGAGGGGATGATAAGCCTTGCCTTTGAAAGCTGATCTTCCTATTTATAACTCAGAAAGAAGTCCTATTCCTTTACATTCCATCGGGGAGGGAAGATAACCCACTGCACAGGGAACTGGTACCTGACTATTCAGAATCCTCCCCCTGCTAGGCAGGTCCAGAGACATGCCAGGGGGTGTCTGCAGTTATAGGGTACCATGAGCTCAAGTATGTATGTGCTAAGTGCTTATTCTGAGCTGTATATGTGGCACGGATACCGAGCAAGACAAACAAGGGTATGTTACTCTTACCTAAAGTTTAAGGGGAAAAAGCTTTATTTAATATAACTGCAAGCACATAAGCATGAGCCATGGCATGAGGCTGAAGAGAAAGTTGGGGCTTGTGCCAGGCTCCTCTCCCAGGCCTTTGGGGGTGTGTCTGCTCTCCCATCTGCCAGTGCAGTGCAAGTGAGTTCCAAGTGTTTGCAGTCTGTTCCTCCACACACCTGGTGCACTCTCCCACTGGGAATGCGGTCTCATGGCGCCGTGGGAGTGTAGCCCTTCATCCTGGGTCACTGCCACTGACTGAGGGGCTCCTGTGATCCGGAAACAGGACTTAGTTTTAGCTCAGCCGCTGCTGTGCTTAGCAAGGAGCCTGAAGCTCGCGAGGCCCAGTGCCAGTGTGACTCCTGTGTGGGACATGCTTGAGCAGAAACAGTGAGCAGCGGGGCCTGTGATCCCAGGACCTTGTCCCGTTTCTCCTTGCCGCAGATTCTTCCAGTGAGGGTGCGGTGTGGAAGCCAGACAGTGCCATTGCAAAATCACCCTTAGGACCAGAGCATTGCCATTCCCAGAGCTTGGCTTTTGTTCATTAATGCTTCAGTGTTAAGAAGCTGAGACTTTTTTTTTTTTTTTTTTTTTTGATGGCCCTGAGGATTGAACCTTGGGCCTTTTGCATGGTAAGGAAGTACTTTACCACTGAACTACATCCTCAGCCGTTTTTATTTTTATTTTGGCAGTCTAACTAAGTGACCTAAGCTGGCCTCATATTTGTAGTCCTGCTTCAGCCTCCCAAGTAACTGTGATTACAGATGTGTGTCCTTGCACCTAGTTGAGACTTAACATTTTTGGGTCACTAGCCCTGTACCACAGAATCTATCAGAAACTTTAGCTCAGTGAATTACCCTTGCTATAACCCAGTAAGCAAGGTGCTGGCGTAGGCAAGAGGCAGCGTGTTACAGTGGTGGTGAACCTTGTAGAGACCAAGTGCCCAAACTGCAACCCAAAACTCATTTATTTATCATGAAGTGCCAATGTTGCGATTAAACCTGAATTCAGAGGTTTTAGTTTAGAAAAAGCAGTTCATACCATCGGCTCACGTGCGGTGGAGAGGGCTCTGCGTGCCTGCTGTGGCACTCGTATCATAGGTTCATCACCACTGGTATGAGAAGTTAGAAGCAAAGTACTATTGAGGAGAATCATAGTACCTCCTCATAAGAAGGGTTAAGTGAGATATTACATGAAATAATGCATGTCAAGTGCTTCAAATATAATTGAGCACATAACTGTATAAACATTAACCATTACCACCACTGTTTTATGGATGAGGTACAAAGAGGTATATGTTTAGTCCCAGTGTAGCTAGCTAATGGAGGAATTGTGTTTCCTGACTCTAGAACCAAACCCCTTCTCCCCACTTGTGATTGCCTGTTGATGGCTGCTTTAAAGTGTGCTTGGCTGTGGGCTCTGCTTTGACTGGAGAGCGTGGCTGGTTGAGCCGGAGGCTCTTCATCAGTTGAGGATAGGCTCCCTCTGAACTGGACTCTAATCATTCCGGTTGCTGTGTCTGTGCTGCTGACGCTGCTTTGAGCAGAGGGTCCTTGTGCTCCTCCAGGTTGGAAAGAAAGGACAGGACTGGGGGCAGCAGGCAAGCCGGAGCAGAACATGGGCCTGGTGCACTGCACCTTGTGCTGGCTCTCAGTAAGTACTTTATAAACTCTAAGTAAAGGAGTGATGAGAGGTGGGAGGCAGCTGCATAGTGGGGCACATCTGGCTTGAGTCCTGTGTGCTGCTCAGTATGTGGCCTATGTGAGGATCCTATCTCCCTTAACCTTGAGCTGCAGGGTGAGGAGAATATTTTATAGGGATCCTAGGAAAAAGAAATGAAGTTTTTAATGTACTTACTGTGGTGCCTGGCACACAGTAAGTGGTATCTATGGTTATTATTTGTCTTATTCTATGTGTTGCAGGGTAAGGCATACATGTAGATGCCATAATTCCAGTGTCTAATGCAGGAGGATTGGCAAGATGCATCCACAAGTTTTAAGTGCAGCAGGAAGAAGAAG